CTGGTATACTGTATATTGATGCAATTCACTATTCAGTCATTTATATAGATATGAAAACTACAGTTAATTGCATATCTGGAAAAATACTGCAGGCCTAGTGTTTGTAAATGGGATGAAACAAGAAATCATGTTTTAATATTTGTTTAATAACCAAATGGTTTAATAAACCAATAACAAATATTTGTTTTAACATTTATTAATATAAACCAATAAAAATAAAAACTTTTGCTAATACAGTAGTGGCCAAAATTGTGGAAACCTTTTGGGATAAGTGTACAGTAGAAATGCCACCTTTGGTTAAGTTTCCACCAATTTTTCTTCTAATTTCTTTATAACTGTAGCCTTGTTCACTTAATAATACTATTTTACATCGCTTTCTGGGCAACCAGTCAACTCTTTGCACCAGTACTTTAATTTTATTACATTTTACAAGCTCACTAAATGAAAGAAAAAAAAAACCCAACCAACTTGATAGCAATCACATAACACACTGACAAATGTCCTCCTCTCAGCTTCAATGCATGACATTAATAAGTGAATCCTACTGTGATCTGATTGGCTCATTGCCAAAACAAGATGACACCTCATTGGCTACAATCAGATGAAGGAAAGCTATCTGATATCAACCTAAGCAAGTTGTGCTTCCTTTTTCTGGTTATTTGGCTATACCTTTTCATAGAATACAGTACAGATAATCAAACAAACTTTGTTGCATTACATTCTTGATTAAATTATCTTTCCATTGATATGTAATTTTATGGTACTACTCCGCCCCCCAAAGTGGTGTTATTAGCCATCAAGCCTCAAATATACACTTTTCCCAAAAGGTTTCCACAATTTTGGCCACTACTGTATATGGAATAAGTCAAGCAATATTTTCCATTTGGATCTCTCTTTTTTTTTTTTTAACTTTCTCAGCTTTATTGCTTCAACTTTGTCTTTTTGTCAGATTTCCTTCTACAGATAATCTTCCACTTATGACTAGTCACTTCATGACCATTCAGCGTTATGACAGGCCCGTGAAAAGCTACTTACAATCAGTTTTGAAGTTACCACTGCTGCAGGCCCATGTGGTTGTGTGAACAAAATCCAGGCAGATTCATCCTTATGATCAACTGCAGGGTGACACAGCCCAACACCCCCACAATCATCTCCCCTCCATTCTGCCTCACTGATCCCTTCAGGCTCTGGGCTTGTTTCCCAGCCTCCTGGATCCTATACCCTCCTCCCAACTGATTGCTTGCTTACTTGCTCTTGAGCTTGTGTTGGGAAAGCAGAGGAGGCTGCTCTACCCCTCAGCATCCTGTCTGAGAAGTGGACAGCATTTCCAGAATGTCCCAATGAATTGTGGCCATCTGAAAATGGCAGCCACGTCTGGGACAGCGTCACATCGCCTGAAGGGATACCGAAGGGTGGAACAGCCTGCTCTCCTTTCACAACACGAGCTCCCACGCTCTATGGAAACTTGAGTGATTGGTGATGGAGTATGAAGAGGAAGTAGGACCCGGTGGGGTGGGAAAGCAGGCCCAAGGCCTGTGGACTCCCTAAAGGACAGGAACCAGATCACATGGTCCTCATGGGCTGGGGAAGGCATTAGGAGGCCTCCCAAGGCCTTCCCCACCTGAGACATTCTGTGCTCTGCTTAATGACACATGCAACCACTTAATGACTGCGAGAGAAGGAATGAGGGTTAAATAAGGCAATTAAGCAAGATCTGCAACATGCTTAATGACTGCAACAACTTGCAATTGTAATAGACAGGCTCCATTATGGCAGTAAGTCTAGGACTACCTGTACACACTTCTCTTGAGCCTAATTATGTCTTTTTTTATTATCCTGGCAATACTGTTTTGTTTATAATTTTCCCAAGATTGGTTTTGTTGACAGAAAAATCTTCAGGGTCCAGTCCAAGCCAGGAATAAACAAAATGGAGACTGCTTGGGAAAGGTTGTGTTTATTGAGGAACAGAACAGAAACAGCATGCAGTTCTGGTTCAGCTGACCAAGATGGAGAGTGGTGGGTTTAATACCTCCTGATTGAGATGCTTCAGGGGATTGTGCCATGTAGTGAGCCTTGTGTCAATGGTGGTGGGTTAATCCTATTATATCCTAAGGTCATGTCTTTAGACTTTGGGTGGAGGATGTAGATTTTTGGAGTCTTTGTCTTTCTAATCCCATCAGCTTCAAGGTTCCTGGCCCGTGTCTTCCTGAATGAATCACCAAATCTGCATTTCTAACAGCTGATTTCTTCTTGGGGCAGAGAGATTTGGGGGTGGGGTGGATTCTGCCCAAGATTTTCTATTTCTTTGTGGAAATATAATATTCTGCCTTTTTTAATATCCCCCCAAATATTTCCTTCTCTAAGAAAGGGGGATGCTGACTTCTTACAGTTTGTAAATTAATACAGTCAGTGGAGCCTTGGTTAAATTGTTGGATTATGACTGGGGGAGATGCAGGTTTAAGTCCTTATTGAATTACAAAAACTCCCCAGGGTAATTTTGGGCCAGTCACCATCTCTCATCCCAAACTACCTCACAGTATTGTGGTGGGGAAAAATAGGAGTGAATACTTAACACACCACTTTGGGCTTGTAAAAAGATATAAATTTAATAAATAAAAATAATCAACTTCAAAATTATAAAATGGAAAGTAGTATATTACAATAATCTATTCAACACTTGTTCCCTGAATTGTTTTTAAAAGGAATGTTGATACGGTGGCTAGACAATTTAAACACAAAGTCCTGCTGCAATAATATGTTTCAATAGCAAGAAAAATATTTGTACCAGAGAATAATGTGCATAGCATAAACACTATTTTCTCAAATTGCCTATTGTACTGCTTATGCTCAAAACATAAATTCTCGCAAGTGTGCTACTATAGCAAAACAATTTAGCATAAATGGAAGGTGGATTGCTTTTTAAAAAGTGCAGAGGTGAACTGAGAAGTGCTCTACATTTCAGAGCAAAAGAATTGCAAAACAGAAGAAGACAAGAAAAATCAGTAAGTTTTTTTTTAATGACCCCATTTGCCTGTTTTGTTCTTCTTCAAGTGCCTGACAATGAACTTTTTAAAGTGGGGACATCTTGAAACAACCTGCTTTGCAGACCTTCAACTGCAATTAATTTATAAACTTAATCATGTCCTAAATCAAGCAGTTAGTTTTAACTCGTAGAAAAATATACTGTGGTTTATACGGAGACCGGAATCCAGGGAAAAGTAGTGAATAAGAAACTCTTTCCTTTGTCTCCCATTATTTTGCATTAGGAAATTTGATTTAAACAGAAGTGCCAATGCCTCACTGTCCAATAGCAAGGATTAGCAGCATCAAAGAGTATTCTGGCTTCTAAAATTAAAATCATGATTCATGTCAACTCCTTTGCATGCTACCGGTATGTATTTAATTCAGGCTCAGGTGGTGTGTTTACTATATTATTATTATTATTATTATTATTATTATTATTATTATTATTATTTGAATTTATATACTGCCCTATCTCCCTTACGGGACTCAGGGCGGTGAACAGGCGATAATAAAAACCATGATAAATATACACAAATTTCTGTTCTAAAATCAAATTAAATAACAGGCCTGCTCTAAAAATACCCCATACAAAAACCCCACTAAAACATAATCAAACTACGCCAGGCCGGCCGCACGGAATAGATGGGCCTTCAGGGCTCATCTATTATTATTATTATTATTATTATTATTATTATTATTATTATTATTATTATTATTATTATTATTATTATTATTATTATTATTATTATTATTACTAATAAATAATAATAATAATAATAATAATAATAATAATAATAATAATAATAATAATAATAATTAAAAAAAATAAAGTTGGAAGGGACCTTGGAGGTCATCTAGTCCAACCCCCTGCTCAGGCAGGAAACCCTAAACATCAATCCCATGGAATTCAACGTGCCTATTCCTAGAGTCCCTACTCTCCTAAAAATCCCTTTTGGGAACAATCTGATTAAGGTTAGTAGAATTTTAACTTCTGAGCAAACGTCTTTAAAAATATAAAACATCGGCTTCTTAAAAAAGGAACCACTGAACGTAAATACTTCAGTTTTTGCAACTGGAAAAGCAGCTTCTTGCAAAGCGGGCTGCCCTTCGCTGCTTACGGAACCATCTATAAATAAAATGCTGCCTCCTCCCATTCTCCCGAAGAAAAAGGCAGCCTGTTAAGTTTTTTGTTTTCAACCCGAGGCCAGAAGGAGGGCTGCCACAGCTTCGAAGAGGCCGCCGCGCTCGCCCCGGCCCCATGTGGCTGCGACCCAGATGTGGCAGAAGCGGAGAGAAGAGGAAAACAAGCCGTGAGGACAGAGCCCCGCGCGCCGCACGAGCTCCAGAAGCATTACGCACGCTGGGCGGGGCTTCGAAGGGAGCCCGCGTTGTTGCTGGAGCGCAGCGGGAACGGCGATGTCAACCCACCCAAGCCGCGTCTCTACACGCGGACACGCCCCCTCCCTAGAGCTTCCCTCTTCCTCCCTCCCCCCTCCTCCCGGGCATTCCCTGGCTGGCCGCCGCTCACTGACAGACGGCCGCCCCGCCCTTCCCCGGCGCTGCCGGCCCCGCCTTCCCTCTCTCCTCGCGCCGACCTTTCCCCTAGTTTCCAGAGGGTGGCTCGTCTTGGCCGCCGCCGCCACCGCCAAACGTGCCCACGAGGGTCCTTTCCTGCTATCAGCATAGCTTGCACGAGGCGATCACGCCGCCCGAGGAAGCCCATTGGCTGGCCAAGAGGCAGCTCGGGTCGTGATTGGCGGAGCCCTTCTTCCCATCCCCTTTCCTTCTTTCCTCCTCCTGCCCCGCCCCTTCCCAGCTGCTTTGCTGGATGGAGTGTTTTGGTGTGCTTCCCTCTGTTTTGGCTGCTCGCCTCCCTGGAAAGGAGGGGCGGGCGGGCGGGCGGGAGGTGGTTCTGGCCGATTGCTTCGGCTGGCTTTGTCAGATCGCTGCCGCTGCTGCTTGCGGGAGCCCTCGCCATGCACACATCTCCTTGCAGCGAGGAGATGGGAGATGCCCCTTCGGTGAGTACCACTTGTTGCACGGCGCGGGATGGGGGACGCGGGCAGGCGGAACAGGGATCCTCTCCCAATACCTTCCGGAGCCTGCAGAGGCTGGACGGGACGTGCCCTCTCCCCCCCTTTGGAATTCTGATCGGATCGGCGTGACTTTCCAAGGAACGAGGTATCCGGGGGAGCAGAGGCCGAGGCACCCCGGGAGGGAGCGGAGCAAACGGGCTAACCCCCCCGGCTCTCTCTCTTTTTTTTATGCGCAAATGCAAATCGGGGGGCTGGGGGGGTGTGATCGAGACCCCGAGGTGAGGGGCGCGTGAAATACCGGAGCGCGCTCTCCTTGGGCCCCGGAGCCCAGGCAGCCTTGCCCTCTTCGTCCCCCGCGGTGGGGGCCACTGATCCGGCCGGGAGCGACCCTTCTGATCCCCCTTTTTCCTGGCGCTCGCTCTCTAGGAACTCGAGCGGGGGGTGGCCCCTCCAACTTATCTGGAGCCAGGGACGCGTGTGAATTGGGGGGGTGGGGTGGATGCCGAACGCCGCTTCCTTCAAGCCGCCCCAGCTTGGAAGACTAGATTTAAGCCAGTATTGTTGGGGGGGATCCGGTGGATGCTTCTGGCTCTCCCAGCCAATTCCTAGGCACGCTTACTTAGAAGTAAGTCTTGAGAGTGACTCGAGGGCTGCGGTTTTTATTGGCTGGGGGCGGGGGGCGGGGAGGCTTTGCTCTGGGCATAAACCTGGCTAGATGGCTGATGTGGGCAGAATAAAAGTGCTTTAGCATGAGTAATCTAAGCTGACTGGGATCCATGCTTGCTTGCTAATGGCATGACTTCATGCCCTGGAGATTACAGTAAGTGCTCTTCTTTCAGCTGGTAGGTTGGGAGGGGCATCCTTATCTTCTCTCTCTCTCTCTCTCCTCTCCCCCCTTTCCCCCCCTCTCTCTTTCCTCTCCCCCCCCCTCTCTCTCTCACACACACACACACAAGAGAGCTGCTTTGTTGTGAGTGCCTCCCCAAGAGAAAGTGTCTCTGCTCTTGTCAGGATTCCCTGCCCTCTGAGCTGTCTGCTTTGAGGACAGAGCTACTGTGCCTTAAGAGGGCTTTCCAGCACTGGCTCAAGTCAGGGACCACCACCCATTTTTGCTCACATGGCTATTTTGATGCATGACGTCTCCCCCACTCCTTCCTTTCTCTTCCCCCCCACCCCCACCCCAAACCTTCAACTATATTTGGTTACTTTGGATCCCATGGAGGTGGGAAGTTACCCTCCCTCCCCGGCTCCTTTAGGAGAAGGTGCTTCGCCTCCTTCTGGCCTGGCAGTTTTGACTAATCTTCATGTCCATCGCACTTGCCGTCCTCCTTTTTCCTTAAAAAGCAGAATAAAGAAGCGGGCATAGGAATAGCGTGGGAAGGGGAAATAAATGTAAAAATATATATATATATAATAGCCGTTATATAAGAATATTTGTTTGCTGTCCGAGTACAATGAAGTGGAATTTCCGATCTTTGTGCAGCTGTAATTTGCAGCCGCTTCTTGCATAGTGTGTCATCTCCTCCACTTTGCCACTGCAGTGTCTGAGTAAAAGGAGGTGATCTGAGGACGCACTGAGGAGGCTGTTGCATTTCTGTATGGAAATGAGGCCCCAGCTTGCTTTTTCCTTTTTTTTTTCTTCCTTCCTTTCTCTGTCTCAGGTTACAAATCTATTTTAGATTTCAAAATGTTCTAGCTAGCTGTTCTAAAAAACCTTCTTCTCAATGTTTGTTTTCTCCAGTAGTATCATCTTGGAAAACACTTTGATAATTAAAAAGAAGATCCCCTTGGGTTAATTATTTATATTGCTTAATATTATGGTAACGTCTACTTCATGTTAAATCTGTTAATAGTTAGATGATTTACAGATTCTGTTTGGGATCATTACCCTGAATTTAGCATTAAATAATAACATCAAACATTAATTGAATGTCAAGTTTACTTTTAATCTTCTTTCACTCTCAAGTGTTAACTTCATTTATGGACTTGGAAATTACAATTTAAGTTAATTGAAAATTCCATATAGATTTCACCGAATAAAAGATATTTTTGGCTTCCCATATTATGAATCAAAAATGTACTCTATTTGGTGCCCACCTGTAGTCTGCTTGTGTGAACTTAAGTACTATGATTAGCAACTTTTTTCACTGTATATACATGCAAGCCTATTTGGTTACATCTGGATTTACCTACATACAGCAAGCTATTTAGAGATAGTTTGTATACTTCAGTATTTACTCAAGTGTCTATATGATATCTGTAATTAGTGTAATGGGGCATGAAAAGAATATCTGTTCTAAGTATTCTTATAAGGCTTATTACCAACTGGCTGATTACATTTTTTTTCTACTAGTATTCAGTGCAGTTAATAACTATAGTCTTTTTAGCTACAAAGGTAGGATTTAGTTAATAACATTTTATCATAGCCTATAAAAGGGGAATGTTTCTATAGATCCAGGTTGTCTAATATGTTTTGGACCAAAGGCTAGGTATTATATTCTTTAAAAAAAGAGTAGGGATTCAGATAAAAAAGTGATTTAATTAAATGCATTTAATATCATTGTTCCCTCAATATTATAGAAATTTTCACTTTCGTTCAACATCACAGTTTGGCTACAGGTTTTGATGGATTCTGAGGGATGTTTTGAGGTCTTTGGGGTGTCACGTGCTACCCTGGGACTAGAGGTTGTAGATATTTTAGTCAAGATAAAAGTCAAGTGCTCAAAAGCCTACTGACTTAGGCTTATTCTGTGTTTTGTGATCCTGTGATAAAAATGACAAGGAGTTAATGTGCAGGTTTTTAGACCAAAGGTTGTCTAGCAACAATCAAAATGCAGGAAAAGCCACCAAGGGTTGTGGCAGCTGTGTGCACAAGCCTGCTTTGTGAGAGATTGCTGCATTATACAGAGTTAATTGATTAGCCCTTGTAGCCTAATGGGTAGGAGTTTTCTAGAGGTCTTAAAAACCAGCATTGGCACCCAGATTTCCAAAGAGGTTGGATATTGAATCATGGGATGAGTGTTTAAGCAAACAGTGAAAATGTATTCACTTTTCTTCTGAATGATTAAAATGTGGTGATTCATCTCATCTCAAGGTTGATATTGTCGACATCTACGAATCCATCCGTGAACGGAGGCGTCACGACAGTGAAAGATCTACTTGTAGCACCTTGGAACGGAATGACATAGAAGCAGTTGAGACCCTTGTTTGTATGAGCTCCTGGGGTCAAAGATCACAGAAAGGCGACCCATTAAAAATAAGACCTTTAACGCCTGTCTCAGATTCTGGGGATTTTGTAGGGCAGAATGAACCTACATCTGAGATGCCCAAGGATTATAACTTTTTATCCACTCTGGTAAGGAAAAAGAAGCAAACTTTGTGAAAGAAATTGAATATGCATGAATTGGCTTTCCCCAATTAACCTTATAGTGCTTTATTGAACTTGAGGGATGATGACTTTTTTTTATAATGGTATCAGATATTTTTTACAGTATTATACATACCTTTTTTTTTTGGCAAATGCAATTGAAAACAATCTGGTGTTAATTGTTTTGGTTTATTACCTCCCATGTTTTTCTGATTCCCCGTTAACTTTATTTAAGACAAAACATTTACAGCAAGGACGTGGGGAAATCTGAACTGAATAGTTGTTGCATGATTTTCTGAAGCAGATGGATGAGATTGTTCCACTGAACTGCAGCAAGACATAGGAGTACATCTGAGCATATTGCTTTTCAAACACCATAAGATTGTGATTTTGGAAGGACGAATGTTGGAGCATGCAACTATAGGACAATAGAATGAAGTGAAAATAGGAAATTGGGGTAAACATTCTTTCACATTGTAGTTTGGGGAAAAAAATCAGTAACTTGAGGTCTGAATGAGAGAGTATGGATTACGAATGTAATTAGTTATGGCCATAGCAATGGTTAGTCATGTTGATCTGTGTGTGTGCTGATTTCTTTCTTTTTCCTTTTTAACATAGTGCATGACCCCACCATACAGTCCAGATTTTGTTGAGCCTTCTACAGCGTCACTGCCCTCCTCCCAAACAACTTACTCAAAACCTAGGGCAATCAAGGCAAGCGTACCTGCCAGCGTAGTCACTCCTCCAAGTTGTACTCTTACTGCCACCCAGCCATCTGTTTTGAACATGGAGAAGCAATCCAACCAGATGCCAGCAAGGACTGAGCAACCTGTTCCTCCGCTTTGCAGAGCTATGGCAACTAGTGTGATCCGTCACACGGGCAACAGTTCTGGTTACTCCCACATTCCTGGTGTGCAAGTGAAACCAGAAGTTTCATCGGGCAGCAGTGGGCCTGCAGACTGGCAGGAGGCCCAAGGCCAGCAACATTCCAGAGCTTCCCGGGATTGCCATATTGCAGAGAACTTGACTTGTGACCCTTCACTTGCACACAGATCTTCCTCACACGTCTCAGGTTGCTCCAGAACTGCCAATAAAGGATGTGAAATTCCAAGGCTTGCTTTGCAGCAGTCTCTTTACCCAAAGAATTGTGAGCATGATATGCAGCAAAAGACCAGCCCCCTTCTACCCTCCCCTCTCTCAAATCCACAGGTGATCTGTCAAATGATCCCCTTCGATGGACCAAGAGGTATGGTCCCTGCCCTATTAAAACCTTCTGCTCAGACTGCAGGAACCGTCAAACGCATCTTACCCCACGCGGCTCCAGTTTCTCAGCCTGTCCTGATGGGACCTTCTATGCCTCAGGGGACTGTTATGTTGGTTCTTCCGCAGGCAGCTGTTGCCCAGGCACCCCCCTGCCAACAAACTGTGATGTCTGTGGGGAACACCAAGTTATTGCCTCTAGCCCCTGCTCCCGTTTTTATTGCCTCTGGTCAGAGCAGTACGCCTTTGATAGACTTTTCCCGGAGGAGGAATTACGTTTGCAACTTTCCTGGCTGCAGGAAAACATATTTCAAAAGCTCTCACCTCAAAGCCCATCTGCGTACTCATACTGGTAGGTATGGAACTGAAGGAATGTGATGTGCCTTATAATCTCACTGACGATGCTTGCCAGGCATCAAAAATGAACACCGAGGTTGTGGTGGCATGAGTGTTCTTCATCAACCTGCTGCTCTCCAGATGTGGCATTGCAGTTTTTAGAATTGTGGAAATATATTTCCGCTGTATCTTCATGGTATGATCTTGGGGAAGCTGGGAAACCATGCGAATGCCTCTGATTTAGAGGCAAAGGAAGATGTTCAGGCATGAAAAAAAGCGCAGTCGAATTTTTACACAATATAGAGAAGGAAAGGGGGAGGGTATTTACAGGTTCCTTGACTTAACTACAGTAGAAGCAGTAGATGGAAAAAAAACCCCACATTGATATTCCCAAAATTGAAAAATGTTCCATGGTGGAATGTTCTAAAATGGATTGACTTTAGAATGGTCCCCTTTCAAGATCAAACCACTTTGAGAATGTTTGGAATGGCCTGTGGAGTTTTTTAGAACACCTCGTAACAAAATGCTTAGCATACCTCTAAATCTCTCCAATAGGAGCACAAAATAAACTCCTATAACTTTCCATTGATACTAATAATATGTCAATACTACAAGTAGTCCTTGACTTACGACCGCGATTGAGCCCCAAATTTTTGTTGCTGAGTGAGACAGCTTTGAGTGAATTTTGCCCCATTTCCTGACCTTTCTTGACGTCGTTAAGTGAATCACCGCAGTTGTTAAGTAACGTGGTTGTTAAGTGAATCTGGCTCCCCCATTGACTTTGCTTGTCAGAAGGTCGCAAAAGGGGATCACATGGCTCTGGGACACTGTAGCCGTCATAAACACATGCCAGTTGCCAAGTGTCTGAATTTTGATCACGTGACCACGGGGATGCTGCAACGGTCTTAAGTCACTTTTATCTGTGCTGTAATAACTTCCAATGGTCACTAAACAAATGGTTATAAGTCAAGGACTACCTGTATACCAGTGGTGGCGAACCTATGGCACGCATGCCAGAGGCAGCACTCAGAGCCCTCTCTGTGGGCACGCGTCCCTCTTCAACCAGCCCCCCACTAACTCGCTGAGGTCCCATGTGGCCGGATGCATCCCTCCTGGCCTTGCATGCTCTCCTTTTCCCGGGCACGACCCACTGCATCGCCTCCTCAGCTGTCGGCTGGCCGTCCAGCTCAGAGGCAGCTTCTCTGAACTGGTGGCGGGCTGCGGAGCCCCAGAGTGTGCCGGTCAAGGGGCTGGCAGGCTGTGGCTGCTGACGGACACTGTCGGCCCCCATGCGCTCACTGGCCTCTGTGTGCGGGGGCCGTTAGTGTCAGGCAGCAGCCGTCCTGACCCCTGTCTTGCCTTGCGACAATAGCATCCCCACCCTGCCTCGCTTTGCCTTGCCTCACCCCGCAGGACAAGCCTCCTGCCCACCACCCCACCTGCCAGAGACCTGGATCTCCCCCAACCCTGCCCGGCCCCCACAGGCATCCCTCCCCACGAGCAACATCAAAGTGACCACGCCTACCTTGGCCACACCCACCCAGTCTACCATGACCACCACAGCCACGCCCACCCAGTGGGCCACGCCCACCTGGCACCCGGCGATACATAAGTGGGTTTTGGGTTGCAGTTTGGGCACTCGGTCTCTAAAAGGTTCACCACCACTGCTGTATACTAAGAGGATTGAACTTCCTATATCTTAATCAGTATTGGTAAAATACGCTCCTGGAAAGGTTTTCTTTCCCCAATCGCCCTTTAAGAGCTGCAGCAAAATTGTGATCTATTTTACAGTATGGACAAAAGCTTCCAGTTACTTCTGTTTGTCTTTTCGTTTACTTGATAGAACATATTTAACAGCTTCTTTGGAGAATCCAACGAATTTATTTTTGAATTGTCTTTCCTTCTCCATTCCACTATTCCAGGAGAAAAACCATTCACTTGCAGCTGGGAAGGTTGCGATAAAAAATTTGCCCGTTCTGATGAGCTTTCTCGCCACCGCCGAACCCACACGGGGGAGAAGAAGTTTGCCTGTCCAGTCTGCGACCGCCGTTTCATGCGTAGCGATCACCTGACAAAACATGCACGTCGTCACATGACCAAGAAGGTGCCCAGTTGGCAAACAGAAGTTGGCAAACTGAATCGAATTGCGGCTCTAGAGAAGCCAAGGAATGAGAACGCTCTGAGCATGTTCCTCCCAATGTTATCGCCAGGGTAGTGGGCCAACTGGCCGAAACACACATTTTGTGATGAACTTTATGGTTCCCAAAAGTACCACTTTTACTGATTTTTAACTTAATTTCTACAAGTTATGCTTTTCTGTTGGGGAGGATGGGAAAGTATTTTTCTCTCTCTCTTTTTCTACCCTCTTTCTCTGCTTCAGTGTTCACCCTACTTAATGTTATGTTTTTTTCTTTCTTTTCATTCTTCCAAGATTTTGGGAGGATCACCAGCACTTCAGAAAAGGAAAATATATTTAGGGATGGGGCGGGATAGAATATTAGCAAGGACTATTCTTTGAAAATTTATCTTTACTTGAGTAAGAATAATTAATAGAAAGTGAAGCAGGCTGACTTTTCAGTTTTATGCTAGTTTTCTGTCCACTTTGTACAAATGTAGCTGCTATAGCCTGATTCTGCATTTATCCTCTGAAAGCAGTGGTATGGGAGATTGAAACTACCTCTCAGAAACTGTTCTCCTGGGTGTGAATACAGTCCAAACTGATTATCAACTTGGGTCTGAACTCCGATTTCATACTTGAGGCAATCTGCTTTAGGATTGCCTGTCATGTCATAGTTACCGTTTGGAGCGCTCTATCTGGAGATATATACCTAGAGATTGTATTTAAAGTTGGCTTATTCAGCTGGCTCAGGATTCACTTTGTTGTGACACCAACCATGTTCATCAAAGTTGAAAAGACCTGGCCTGCAATGGCGCTGAATTAATTTCCCCCTGTTCATTATTCCATACTGCTCAAAGTACTGTTCCATGTATGTGTTAGCAAAACTTGTTGGCATACGAACAGAACTGTGCCTATGATTATCAACTGTTTAAATATGGGTTTAATGTGTCAATCAACTCACATCAGAATCAGATATTTAATACAGAATTTCAGGATACCTGCTGCATCACAACTGATGTCTTGAATAGTATAAACACTATGACAGTGGTTATTAAATGTTTGGACATACTATGAAGGAAACAGTGACTTGTGATAATAGCTACTTCTTCATTATAATTGTTAATATTTTAATTATTGTAATTGAGAAGTAGCCTCTTTCTTTTAGTGTGGCTAACTTATCAGAATTATGGGCTGCATCTCACCAACAATATAATTCAGTCAGAAACTTGCATTTCCATAAAAGGAGTTAAGTGCATCCTTAAATCTGTCTTTTTAAATTTCATAAGTACTAGATGCCTAACTTAGTTTGGCTTATGCCCTTGGTGTATCCGTACATAAAAGCAAGAAGGCCAAAGTTAAAAATTACTCCTGCTTGCACTAGTTTTTTTTTAATCATCTCAACCAGGAGTGGGGAACTATGGCCCTTTGATGACTTGTGGACTTCAACTCCCAGAATTCTTGAGCCAGCCATGCTGGCTCGGGAATTCTGGGAGTTGAAGACCACAAGTCATAAAGGGGCCATAGTTCCCCACCTCTGATCTAAACAAACAACTAAAACTTTTCAGCACCTCACTGTTGATTGATCAATAATTTTCACATAAGCCTTTCTAAGAAGATCAGCAGAGCAAATGAGGCTGTTTGATTTGCAGTATTCGGTCAGAAGGATTTCTTGATCAAATCTAATATTGGCACTTGTGCAATGGAACTGTTCCCTTCCTCTCTGCCCCTGACACTATCTATGCTGGAGAATCCAGGGCAAGGTCAAGATTCATGAGGTAATTTGTCTCACTGAAAGATGCTATTCTGTGAGTGTGGGGAAGACACTGGGAGGATTCAGCTGCATGTCTTGCACTAAAGCAGTGGTTCTCAACCATTTTAATGCCGCGACCCCCAACCGGTCGTAAGTCGAGGACTAAACCGGTCGTAAGTCGAGGACTACCCAACCGGTTGTAAGTCGAAGACTTTCCCTGCCCGGGAGCGCCTCGTAGCTGGCAATCTGCAGAGACGGAGCAGGCCGACCACCAGCTGGCCCAGCTCAAGGGACGTAAGGCACCCGCCGGAAAAGGGGAAAAAAATGGCGGACAGCCTTGCTTGGCGACCCCCGTGAAATGGTCGATCGACCCCAAATGGGGTCGCGACCCATAGGTTGAGAACCACTGCACTAAAGTCTCTTGAGTTGCAGTACTTATGCTTTTAAAATTAGGG